CCAAGACCTTTCCATGGGCATCTAACATTTGGGAGGGGGTGGGTGGGTAAATGAAAAAGTTCATGCAGACGACCAACATCCAGTTTTACAATTTCGGAACGGCAACTGCATTAACAAGGTTGACAGCAACGAAAGGCATGCATCCGTGAAGATGCAGCAAAAGTCTCATTCTGATTATATCATTCATATATTCAAATATTCATATATTCATATATATACCTCATAGAGCAGTTCCTTGGATTTTATGTCGTATACAAAACAGATGTTCTTTTCATCGACGACGGCGACCTTTCGGCGATGAAGGCTTAAGTCGACGCATCTGACCACTCCCGTGATTTTCAGCAGTTCCACTGGGAACGGGTTGTCGACAAAAATTTCGACGATTTGTCCGTTCTTCAGGCCGATGATCAGAGCCTCCCGACCGGCGATGCCGCCAACCACTTTGATGTACCGTATGAGCGAGTTCAGCAGCCACTCCCGCTCCTTTATGCCTTTGAAATTATAGCACTGCAATCGCTTCTCCTAAAACCTTAGCTTGCTGTGGCGCCACAATGCATATAAAACGAAGCTCAATGCCTGACACAGCAGAATATGCGAGTAACAGACGACCAGCAGGTTGCACTCGAAGTTGGCCAGAATCGTTTCTGTATGGCGGTAGCTGATGGGCGACATTTCGGCGTTTTCCAGCTCGTATATGTTAACACGATCAGAGAGCTGCACCTGTAAGTGTAGCGCGTGAAATGAGCAAAATATCTCATCGCAAGAAACACAGCTGCCTTGAAGATCAAGTTGCTCTTAAACACTTATCTATATCATGCCGATTTCACCCCCGTCTTCGCAATTTACAGTTTGAAGCAAAATAATTATAATACATATATAATACAAAGCATTTATGCATCGTGGAATACGGTATAGATCAGAAATATCCATTCAGTGAGGCTGATGTTTTTACTGTATACGAAGGAGGATCGCTTAGAATCGCAGTGAAAAATCAATCCGTGTGATAATCAACAAGGATTTCAAATATAACGAAGTGTATTACTCATCCTATCAAATCAGCTGAAACTATGCTACGACTGCAAGGTAATCCAAAGGACAAAGAGAATTTCACAAATACCACATAACCTGAAAATCTGCTTCAAACTGCTATTACACCGGCATTAACATTTATCGCTCACCCTATGGCTACCGACTTTACCATGGGCATTTTTCCACTCCTCATACGAAGCTCACCCTTTATATAAAAGGAATAACTATCATAACAGCAACACAAATCAATGGTCTTTCTGAAACTCATTTTGATTCTGTGCCTTCATTTTTAATTAACTGTCACTTCAAGCGTTCTTGAAACTAGAAAACAAACAGATGTTATTGAGATTACGCCTTTCACTGATTATGACATTGAATGAGCAGTTGGCAGGTGAGTGAAAGCGAGTTGCAGCCCAATGAAGAGCTCCCAGTAGAAAGCAAAGCTGCACCACTCGCTTATTCTTGTATGACCACACCAGAACACCACGCTGCCTTTGTTGCTCTCAGGTCAATGACTTAATAATGTTACTCGGCTAATTGCATCAAAGAAACGTGGGGCAAATTCCTTACATTAGAAATTAGTGATTAGGATAAGTTTTTTTTGGAATTCGAACTCGACAACTACGGATTTCTAAGCTAACCTCGTTATCACTGTATCTCTTGTTAGTCCACTATATCTGCCGCCGTCTGTTTGCCCTGAGGTCGGCCGATACACTGAGAACCATCCACCGATATATAACATGATAGGCTGAATCATGCAGTTGATGCGGCTGACCATTGTCCAGCTATATACAGACTGAATGCGGGGGCCGCAAGACCGATCGGTGACACCAACCAGCGCTCTGTACCAAATCGCTCACGTGTTTACAATTTTTGTATACGGTAGTGCATCCACTTGGATCACTCTTCTTTTAGTAATCTTCTCTTTCTGTGGCTGGTACATCTTGGCCGGCTTTTAATCAATTTTTCCATATTACTGTATTTTAGGCTACATCTAAAGTGCCCCTTGTGGCTACAATCCTCATCCCTCTTCTGCCTTCACATGTCCACCTGAGTTTTCACACTTTCACGGAATTTAGCTGACGTTCATGTATCTAGAAAAGCACATTTCATTCCATGCAGAAGTACCACTCATTACTATGATGGAAAATGAAAAGGAAGGAAAGTTTGCTGCTTTTGGAATGCCGCACTTTCACGCTGTGACCATTTCTGATTGGCACGCCTCTTTTCATTATGTTAATCGATTCGCAATTACCTTCATTTTCATACAGTAAGTCAGAAGTGTCTTACTTCTTTAAATAGCGGCAGCACCCATATGGTGTTTAGTTGCTATTTCCTTCCCTACGAGTGTTACTCATTCATTTACCCATGAAGGATCAAATCTAGCGAACAGACCGGGGCTCGAACCCGAAACCTTTCGGTTTTGAGTCTGACCCTCTACTGACTGAGTAACCCGGTCAGATAGTAGATAGCAATTCTCAATATGCAATTCTAAAACTGTTTGAGTATGCCTGAATAAATTTGTCCGCGTGAATCAGATCTTCAGGAGTAATACCAATAACATCAAAGCATAGGTCTCAGACCTTGAAATAAAACTAGAAGACGGTTTCACATACACGCTGTTTTTTACTCGATGCCAATTGCGCGCTGCTGCTTGAAAAATAGTATGCCAAATATGACGCTAAATTCACACTTTGAAAATTTATCTGGCTAACAAATAATTAAAATAATTATTCTTTATTGCTGCTTTAATTGCATGGACATCTGACTGGACATCTGATTTTCAATTTAAATTATGCACAAACAATCGCACAAATGTTTCTGAAACGAAACAATTGTTTTATGCGAAATATAGATCATGGAAACATTCATTCAACCAGACTTTTCCGCAGATACGCTAGCCGACTTGTCATCGTTATTAACGCGCTATGAACAGAAGTCGACGTTCCTCCAGTATTCTTTGCTCTAAGCCTTCTGCCTCAATAGCTGGTAAAGTAATTTGGCCAGCTGTTCATCCCCACAGCGTGTGAATAAGTTTTTGTGCTGCAACGGAACCCAGTATAAAATTCGTGAAATCCAGAAATCGTCTCACCATGAGCTAAGACGTATGACCAGCCATTCTTCTGTTGGCATCCTAGAAAGGCGAAATCACCTGTGCTAATTTACTTCATGGCGGAACTTGTGGACTCAGAAGTAATGAAACCGTTCACATTTTGCGCTCGATTCGTATTGCCATCAGTTTGTTCTACTCGGCCCCGGTAATGGACCAATACTGCCGTAGGTCACGGTTCGCATGGTCAAATTACTTGATCAGCAGTGTAGGCAGAAAATGCGGAATAAAGAATGGCTAGAAGAGCTTCGACGTACGCTTATGGCGCACACATAGCAAGGGCGAATCAGGTAATGGATATTTGAACACGTGACAATCGTGCTCAGGTTTTGAAAGGAGTTTCCGATGAAACTCTAACCGAAACAAATAAGATTGTGCAATGCATAAATATGTCAAGTAAAGACATTCATCTATGTTCATGAACCCAGCTATTAGACCGTTACGTATTACGAATGACGGAAATTAATTAGATCGCAAATGAGAATTGAAAATCAAGAACTTCACACTCATAAATTGCTTTATTTTTATTCCTCAGTCTTATATAAGCTGACGAGTGAAATCGCTAATTACTTTTCCATTGTTCTCTGCTGCAAATAGGAAATTACATTGTTTTAAGAACCTTCTATCCGTCTTATTGCATATTTAAACGGTCAGATATGCCACATCATTGAAATTCATGGAGATTCGGTACTTACCGCAAGCTTGTTCCTGTACACGGCTACCTTTCGGACTAAGTCTCTGCACTTTATCCGAGCTAAACGAAAATTTTTGCTTCTCCCTGATACACAGTAAAGACCGTGAATAATTACGACCTGTTTTGTCGCTGAGTAGGTGCTGCACCACGACGTCGGTCATATTTTCGCGGTACACGTACCGATCCTTGTA